TTTTCCTTTTAATTTTTTTTTCTTTTCATGATGACAGTGGTGAGGCCCTGCCTCCCCTGACTGAACGTCACTGTTGCAATTAAAGTCTTCCTTTCTGTGTTTCTTCTTTGGGCAGGTTATTGGAGCAAGGTGATGAGGTGGTGGTGCAGAAGACCGGCAAGGCAGTCATCTTCCCTCTGTAAGTACCAGCTGGCTGGTTGGAGGCGCGCCTTTTGATACGGGTGAAGAAGGAGAATGCAAAAGTTGGCTTGAAACTCAACATTAAGAAAACTAAGATCATGGCATCCAGCATTCTCAATCCCTGGCAAATAGATGCAAGGAAAATGGAGGTAATGACAGATTTTATTTTCCTGGGCTCCAAGATCACCACAGATGGGGACTGCAGCCAAGAAATTAAAAAACACTTGCTCATGGGGAAGAAAGCTATGGCAAATCTAGACAACATACTAAAAAGCATCACCCTGCCAACAAAAGTGCATATAGTCACAGCTATGGTTTTTCCAGTTGCAATGTATGGTTGTGAAGGTTGGACCATAAGAAAGACTGAGCGCCAAAGAATTGGGGTCTTTGAACTATGGTGCTGGAGAAGACTCCTGTGAGTCCTTTGGAGTGCAAAGCGATCAAACTGGTTAGTCCTAGAGGAGATCAACCCTGACTACTCTGAAGGCCAGATCCTGAAGATGAAACTCAAATACTTTGGCTACCTAATGGGAAGGATGGACTCATTGGAGAAGAACCTAATGCTGGGAAAGATTGAGGGCAAAAGAAGAGGGGCCAACACAGAATGAGGTGGCTCAATGGAGTCACCGAAGCAGTAGGTGTGAGCTTAAATGGGGGTATGGTAGAGGACAAGAAGGTCTGAAGGAACATTGTCTATGAGGTTGTGATAAATCTGTTTGTTGTCCTTCATGCTGCAAGGCGAGGTTCATCTAATACATCTCATTAACATTTAACTGACATACTGAATATATCATAAATGCTGTCCAGAGTTTCTTTGGCTAGTGAGATGGATGATATATAAACAATAAACAATAAATACATGATTTTCTGCAGGCATTGTTCTTTTAAAAAACCAATTCTCCTGTTATAAAACAGAGAATGATACATTTATAAAACTCTTGCTACGGCACAACTTTTTAAAATGAGATCTCATCTTCAATGTAGTGGAATTATCAAAATAGCAATCACCTAGATAGAATTCAACCTATGTTTCTATGATATTCACAATCAAACTATATATTTTAGTTTTTCTACAGATTAGGGCAGGGGTCCCCAACCCCCAGGCTGAGGCCACTACTGGGCCATGGTTCATTTGCAATCGTGCCTCGCAAGCAGTGAGATGGTACACACAGCTCAACTCATGTAAGTAGCAGGGGGGCACACTTGTGCCCGCACAGCTTGATTCACACGTGGCAGGCCAGTGCACACACACATGCGCACGCACCTCAACTAATCAAGTTGTGTGTGTGTACATGTGCACGCTGGCCCACCGCTCACCAGCCTCTCTCTCTCAGGTTCCCCTCTCCCCCAACCCACCCAGGCCACCAAGCCGCAAATGTTGGGGACTGCTGATTTAGGATAAATAATGTGATTTTGTATGCAGAGAAAAATATTTTCTAACCCAAATAATTAAATGACACTAAATGCCATTCCACAAATGTAAACTAAATAGTTTAAAGAATAGTGAGCAAACCTAACAATATTCCCAAACTTCAGTAAAAGAGAAGCCATACAGGTTCATAGCCTGAGCAGAGCTATTTCATTTGACTTATGACACAATAAAATATTTCTATTATATCCAGTACATTCTCTTGACCAAAATTAAGATTTTGTTTACAAGATGACTCAGGACTCAATACAAGCATTCACAAGAGTGCAGTAAGCAAGTAAATGGACTCCCCAGCTAAAACATTAACCCAGGTTTCCCAGATTATATTTTATTAAATTATATTCAGATTTTTTTTTTGAAAACAGTGCATTGTCAGGGTATACCATTTACAAATAAAAAAACAAAAAAGAAGAGTGATATTAAATATTAACATACAAACTAATAACAATAATGATAGTATAGTAACAATAGTAATAATATAACAAAAAAGCTTTAAGTTTCTTCGTACATCAGCATATTTACATTTTTGTTGATTATTGTGGTTGTAATTATATACATCTCTATTTTCAGTGCTAACATTTATAATCTTACTTTCTCTAATTTCTACCTCTTATCTCTATCCATTCATAAAATTTATTCCAAATCATATAATATTCTGTGTCTTCTTCATCTTTAATTTTAAAGGTTAATCTGACCATTTTGGCACAGTTTAAATTTTTTTAAATTATGGCCTCCTCTGGTAAGGTGTTCACACTTTTCCAATATTTAGCATATATGATCCTTGCTGCTGTCAGTATATGTAAAACTAAATATGTGGTCCCTTTATCATAGCCCTCCTGCAATATACCTAGCAGACATGTTTTTGGCTTCACCTCAATATCCTGTTTAATTATCATTACCAGCCAGTTTTGTATTTTCTCCCAATATTTTCTTGATTTACTGCAAGTCCACAACATGTGGTAGTAAGTATCTGGAGTCTAGTTACATTTCCAGCACTTAGCAGACAGGTATTTTATTTTTTTCCCATTTGGTAATGTTTCCCACATTTCTGACATAGTGCCTCTGAAAGTATTTCTGTACCGTACTTCTACCATACCAAAGGAAGGCATGCCAGCCTAATTGCAGATCATGTCCCTCTAGTAATAATAGTCTTCTATTTTTCAAATTTACCCATTCTTTTAACCATGTCAGGGCTGATGCCTGATTTTTCTGACCTAGGCTTCCGGAGAAAGCATAAATCACAATCTTAATCCCAAAATCCTCTTTTATTTATACGGCTGTAAATTATGGTCATTAACAGTCCGCAAGGCTTCACAAACATTCTGTGAAGGTTCTGACAGATGTCTGCTTGAGTTGCCACAGTCTTTCAGGGGAATGTTGATAAACACTCACCTTATCTCCCTGGAATGCTGCCAGAGACCAAATTGCCAAATGCAGAGCAAGGCCAAATTTAGCAGATTCAAACAGAACTTTTCAAAGCTTGAACTGACCAGATGAACTTCATGCAAAAGTTCATGTCCCGTCGCTCCTCTTTTATGTCTTATGGGAGCGGCTAATCATCTCTAAGCTTTACTTCCAAGTTGACCCTGTTCTCTTAATTGTTCTTGCCTTCTGGCAGCTCTGTGCATGCGCACCCTGGGAACAGGCTCCCGTTGTTCTTCTGCCTTGCTGATGTTAGACTCCCGAGGCTCTAGAGGCAGCAAATAACTACCAGATAGTCTTGGTCCCCTCTTTGCCTCTGACACAAAGGATCTGACCCTTCCCCAGACTCCAGGACTGACTCATGTTCCTCCCCAACCTCCTCACTGTCCAACTCTGCAGCCAGCTCGGCTGGCCACTGGTGGGTCACAAAACCTGATAATCAGGAAGTCCAAAGCCCCCATTACATCTGGATTCCTGTAGCATTTTCAATTTTATCCTCAGTTTTTTACCTTGCCAAATATAATTCAGAATTATTCTATTTAGTTCATCAAAAAAATTCTTTTCTAATTTTATCGGTATTGTTCGGAATAGAAAGAGTAATTTTGATAGTATTTCCATTTTAATGGTGGATATTCTCCCTATCATAGATAATTGTAAGTTCTTCCATCTTTCTAGATCTGATTTAATTTGTTGTGTTAGTTTCATGTCTTTGAGTGTCACACACCTTGCTGTTAGGTAGATACCAAGATATTTAACCTTCTTTAGTCTCTGTAAGCCAATTTTCTCTGTCAATTCCATTTTTGTTTATCTGTGATGTTTTTAAGTAATACTTCAGTTTTTTCTTCGTTTATTTTTATCCCTGCCATCTCTCCATATTCCTCAATTTTCCTTATCAATTTGGGGCCAATTTCTAGTGGTTCTTCTAATATCAATATTAAAATCAAGCATGATTCAATTAACAACTGCCTTCCTTAGCAGTGGAAATTCTGGTCCTAGTTATGGTCATAGGTTGGGGAACTGTTGAAAGTTTCACATATCTAGAGCAAAAGGCACCTCCATGTAAGATACATTAGACTAATGCAAGTGAGATCATCGACTTCCATGGCCTCCTTGCTAGCAGACCAGTGCTATTCAATGGCTGCCACACTCCTTGGCCTTCAGAACTTCAGTGACACAGAGGTGGAGGAGAGGCAGGGTCTGATATTTTATAGAAAAAGTTGTGTGCTCCTTGATGTAGCATTTTACATTTATGACTCCTATTGATCATGGTCCATGTTCATAAAATGTTAATCTACATGATATATTTTGCTTACCATGCTTTTTCTAAACTTTGCTGCTTCTCCTGGAGCTCTTGCTTCAGGCTCTCCACTTCCACTTTTAGCTCAATGTTCTAAAAAAAACAAAAGTGAAAAATCAACATAATCAACTGTACTGCTGGGTTTTCTGCTCTAGAAATTCAAATTCCAAAGTGAGTGCTTTTTATTTCAAACATATTTATGAAGAATTCATCCAAACCCATACTGGTGCAACTTAATTTATATTATAGTTTACTGTGTAAGTAAAAATATCTTTCCAATGCTATTCATCAAAGCATTACTAACACAGAGCGAGATGCTTCCTAAATGCAAATATTCATTTATTAACAAGCTACAGAAAGCCTTCCTCTGATTTTTTTGGCAAGATGGAAATAGACAATACAAAAGTACATTGCAAAACCTACAAGTGTTTTCTCTTGTTCATCGTAGCAATCAGAAACATTTAAACACACAAGCAAAAACAATACACTCTACAAATCTTTGGTTGAAAGGAAAAGCAGGAGAGTCATAAATTTTATTTTATTTATTTATGGATTTATTTTAAAGGTTGGTTAAAATATTTTATGTTAACGTGAATATATGACCTCCTTAAACGCTTCACTTTCTTTGTTCTTCCCTCCGGCAAATGACTCCGTATTCTTTCAGCTCGATGATTTTCAGCGATACAGCTTAGTAGTTTTAAATCCAGGAAAGATAAAATTACGAAGAAACGACACTTTTTCTTGATTTTTCCTCTCGTTATTTTCCACCTCTCATTAATTAGGGTTGCTTAAGATGTGTAAATTAGAACAAGCTATGTTGGAATCCATTCCGGGTGTGTGTGTGCAGGGCAGTTTTGTCTGTCTGAAACACACACACACAGGGATGCAAAAACATCGCATCAGAAACATCTTTCTGGCCTAATGGTCAGGACTCACTATGCAGCCTCATGTAACATGAACTATGTGAGCAAGCTACTCCCACACCTGCCCCTTCTCCCCTCCCTATGCTGCACTGTAACTTTCTATTCCCCCTCTCCCCTCCCTATGCTATGCTGTGATTTTCTATTGGTTTGTTTGTAGAATGCTGTGACCTTTTCATTAGTTTATTTGTATCATGTGATTTGATACGCTCCTTTTGATGACGCTGTAACTAACTTTTCTAATAAAAGAGACCCTCGGAGTACATTCGGGGCACTCGCTCATCCCGAGGAATTCTGCCTGGTGTTTTCCTTTTGATTAGGCAAAGATACATGAGCGGCCCTCCAGTGTGGCAACAACACCGCAAAGCTACAACAAAGCAAGTCTCCTTAGTATCAGTATTTTAGCTTCCGTTCCCCCTCCTTCTTTTCCCGTGAGTTTCCCAATTGTCAGTTAATCTCTTTTAAAGACACAATCTTTTCAGATCCTAATTCAAAGTTTGTATTTCAATGGGTTAGCCAATTCTCATTTCTGTCTCCAAGTTGTTTGGAGGAAGCAGTTCTCTTTGGGCGTAACAATTTAAACTGCAATTTCCCCCTCTTCTTTCTTTCCTTTCTGCCCAAATCCCAATCTGTCCATCAATGTTATTCTGTACTCACAAGATTCTTTGCCTTTTCCAAGTTCTGATTTGTGTCAGTTGGTTAATTAAATCTTTTCGCCAGGTCGCAACATTCCTTCCAAACACTGCTCCTGCTCAATGCTTAGTCCAGAAGCTTCAGCTTTGTAGTGGCCATTTTAAATGCCGCCTCCCCCGATGCCAATTCAGAGAGCTAATCTCTGACCTGCAAGGAACCAGTTGCATTCCTCTAGGTCTGATGAGATGCAGCTCCTTCTTCACTTACCTTCAGGAAGGTTCTGATTCAAAGATCCCCAGCATTGGTTTGTCAGCCAGAATTTACGTGAGGCTCTTCAGAGCCCATGTTTTTTCTGTCTGTCTCACTGAGGTACTTCCAGTCTCTCCCTCCCTGCCTCATTTTTGAGCAAAGACCACTCTTCACACAATTTGTGCATGCGCTTCCTTTTCATTCTCGCCTGGACAGGTAACTTCTTTTGATCCCAGGCTTCTAGCAGTCTCCGTAAAGGAGACATCGGCAGGACCTTGGAATAAAAGCTACACATATTTTCAGACAAGACGCTGACTCTGACCCTTGTTCCTGTTATATGCAGTAAGATTCCTTCCGTGACTCTCCCGAGTCTTCAAACTCCAGGACTCTCTGGAGTCCTCTGCCTTTCACAAGGCAAATCTTTCAACCCTTGTCCCTGGTAAGGCAGTCTTTCAGCCTTTGTCCTTGGTAAGGCAACCCTTTTAAGCCACCCTTGGCCTTGTGCCCCAGTTTCAGATCACAAAGGGGTCTGGGAGGACTCTGACTTTTTTTTGCAGAGGATGGGGGTTCCTCCTAGAAGAGTGGAACATTGGTCAGAGATTTTGATCAGTTGCCCAAATGCAAACTGACATAAACACCTTGTCCTTCTTTCACATTATTTTTCCTTCCCCTGACAGAAGGTCCATACTCTGGCCAAACCCTTTTGCTTTCCAGAATTCACTGTTCACAGTCTGGTGGGACTTGCAGTGAATCTGGGTGCAGCTAAGAAAGGCACAGAGAAGGTGGGATCCAGCTGTGATAGAGAAGGTTCATCCCTTTCACATTCTCACACACTTCTTACATGCACTCAGTGTCAAATCCCTAAAAGTGATACTGCCATTCAATTGAGAGAAGGGAAGCCTTGGATTCGATTCATTAGTGTTGTCTGTGACAACTGGTATTTTATAACTTCTATCCTGGCACTGAGTGCCCTGGGATCTTCTCACCTCTTGGGGTATGTATAGGAGAGATGGCCATCTGGGTTGTTTTACTTCGAATTGGATTTTTTTGTGGCACATGTGCTCACCTACATGCAAGAGCAAGGGCATGAGTTCCAAACCCAAGGATCCCAAGTATGAGTTGTTACCCTAGCCCTGGAGGGAGCTGCCAGATGGATGGTGACCCTACATAACGCCAATGCCTCAACTGCGGGACTTCAACCATTTCATGATGGCCTTGTGATGATATTTCGAAGTCTCCCTCACAGATCGCAAGACACATGACCACATTAAAGTTGTAAATCAGGGACAGCAGTCAGTGGTAGAGTATACTGAAGAATTCCGAGATCTTGCATGTTGTGTGAACTGGCCAGCAGATATCCTGGTAAACTATTTCAAGGATGGGCTGAGTGATGACCTCTACAATGCCTGTGTGGTCCAAGGTGCACCAACATGACTGGTATCTCACTGCCGAAGAAGCTGAGGTTGATATGGCTGGAAACCAGTACCGAGCGGGATGAGCATGGAAGAAATCCCCACCCCAATGGAAGCAAGAGCCCTTCAAACCACAAATTGCCTTTTCTCTAAAACCCTTAGACTGTTTCAAGTGTGGAAAGGCTGGGCACCGAGCTGCAGAATGTCATTCTCAAACACCCACCCGGAAACCAGAAGACCCATCAAGGGGGGAACCTGTGAAACCTGGCTAGTGTGGGAAGGAGACTGCCCTGAGGAGCAGGGAGACTATAGAGTTTCCATCTCCTTCCCTCTTTGGGGAAAAAACTCTGGCATCTCAGCAGGAGGAACCAAAATCATTTGGGAGCAATCCAAAGGATGAACCACTGGTAAGCAAACCAATTAAACCACTTACCCTCCCCTTAAGACTGTTTATTCCCAACTAGGACAGGGAGGGGAGACAGTTTATTTTGCTTCTACAGTGTGGAGAACATGTACCTTATGAAAGATATACTAGCCCACTTCGCTAAAGGGAAAATTTTCTCAAAGCTGGACTTAACAGAGGCTTACTACTGCATCAGAATTAAGGAGGAGGACAAGTGGAAAATGACATTTAACACCATCCTTGGATGCTACCAATTCAAAGTACTCCCATTTGGTCTATAAGGAGCCCCCACAGTGTTTATGAAATTAATAAATGAAGTACTACATGAGCATTTGTATAAGGGAGTCCTGGTTTATTTGGATGACATTTCATTATATTCCAATACCAAAGCAGAACATGTAAAACTAGTCTGGGCTGTGTTAAACAAACTCCACTCTGCCAAACTTTATGTTAAACTCTCTAAATGTGAATTCCACCAAGAAAAATTTGACTATTTCTGCATTTCACACCAGGACATAGAAATGGACTCTCAAAAAGTGCAGATTGTACTCGATTGAGAAACACCCTGTGCACGTAAACAGTTACAAAACTTTCTGGGATTCACCAACTTTTACCACCAGTTTATTCCAGCTTTCACTCAGATTGTCCTCCCCATTACCAACCTCTTAAAAATGAAGGGGGAAGGGCAACCCAAAACCAAAGCAGCCTTTGAACTAGAATGCCAAGCTGCATTTGAAAAACTTAAACAGCTGTTCTCAACAGAGCCAATTCTAAAGCACCTGGACACAGAGAAACCATTCATCATACAAGCAGATGCTTGCGATGTGACAGTAGGGGCAGTCCTGCTTCAGAAAAATGAACAAGATCAACTACAACCATGCACTTACACATCCAAAAAGTTGAATGAAACTGAGCAAAGGTAGGCCATTTGGGAGACAGGCATATGAAGTTCGGTGGGTGCTTTTAACCTGGAGCCATTTCCTAGAGGGGAGTAAGATCCCTTTCAAAGTCTGGACTGATCACAAAAAATTAGAAGCCCTGAAGACCTCAAGGAAACTCTCCCCAAAACAAGTATGATGGGCTCAGTACTTTAAATGATTTGATTTTTTTCTCAAATATCTCCCCACGGAGGGAGGGTTTCTGTCAGATGCACTATCCAGAAAACTGCAATACAATAGTACGAAGCCGATGTAATAAAACCCATAGTACAAAACAATCAATTGGCCACTAAAGTAATCACCAGATCCCAGGAAAAACAAGACAGATTGACCGACAATGACACCACCCAAACCTTTAAACAAGCATTGGCAACTGATTAATGGTTTTTGAGCCACAAGCCCAGCTTATAACCATTGTCTGGGGCCTCAGAGGTTTGGAAAATCCTCACCTCTTAGGGGTTGCAGTGGGGGAGCCATGTAGGTTGCAACTCCGGAAGATGATCTGAGAATCCCTGCTTATCTGATTCTCAGAGAGGCCGGTACAAAAACATTTCACACCTGCAGATTGGTGGGAATCCACGTTAGGAGGGGTTCCTAATTTCCTTTATCATGGATTGTATAGCCTGAGAGTCTTAGAGCCTGTTTCAAATGTTGATTTGTTTTCACCCCCTTTCAAATAAAAAAGATTCCTTTGGAAATACAAGGTTTTCAAGAGTCTACACTTTTTTGAAGGTGGGGTGAGGCAGGTCCTTACAGTTTGTTTATTTTGCTGCTTTGCCATGAATTATTCATGAATAATTATTATGAATAATGAATTATTCATGAATAATGAACTATTCAGCTAAGGCACTTCCTGTAACAGTAAGAAAGCAGCTTCACCATCCCAGTTCCCTGCAGGCACACAAGGCACAGCAGATTTGCCTCCCCAACCTTTCCAGTTTCCACTTCAGAAACTGAGTTGAAAAAAGACTGCATCCAATGGGAAGGCAGAGATTACTTGTCCTGCTCTATGGATTGGCCAGGGACAAGTATCTTTCAGCAAATTGCCTAGGAGGTGGATGTGTTGGAGGAATGTCAGTGGACCACTGGCAGGGGAGAAGTGCTGGCAGAGGGCCAGCTACAATAAATGCCCAGGATGGGTCAGCTGCAGTAGAGTAGGCAAAGAGATGTGCCCATTGTTAATTGTCCCATTCTGTGCTCCAGGATCTTTGAAAGATACGGTTCAGTAGTTCTGAGATCACATCTGCCAGCTCCTTGAGAACTCTAGCACGCAATTCATCTGGTGATCTGAACTCATCCAAGGTGGAGAGATGTTCTCTCACCATTTTCTTTTTTTTTTTTTTTTTATAAAATATTTTATTCAATTTTCAATTTTCACATTCCATTTGCAATCATTTATACACAGGGTATTTACTATAAAAAAAAAAAAAAAAAAAAAGAAAATGGTGAGAGAACATCTCTCCACCTTGGATG